TAGGGGCGAAGAAAGAAAAAAAAACGAGAGAAAACTTGAAAGAAAAAGAGAAGGTTATACTGAAAACCTAAATACATTTTTCTGACGAAGTGACTCCATTTTTAATGAAATCTTCCTGTCTTTTTTTCTTTTTTTAATACCATCATGATCACCATGATAGCCTTTTAGAATACGCATGCGTAATTTGCATGCAATAAAGACTTCGCTATTGGATTTCATTGTTTACAGAGTAAAACATCGTACGTTCGTATTTTGGTCAAACCATTCTTTTTCTTTCGTTGCTTCCTCATTGTTTTACATTTTTATTTTACCTCTCTCTCATTCTCTCTATTTCTGTCTTTTTCCGTCTTTCTATATCTTTTTTCTCTCTCTGTCTCTCTCTCTTTCTCTCTCCCTCGCTCAGATACACAAATTAAAAGGCCTTTTTTCATCTCACCCCCTTTGCTGTCAGCTTCCAGCATATATTTCCCTCTTTCGCTTTTCTTTTTCACTCTTTTTCTTCTTTATTTCTCTTTTCTTTTTCTCTTTCTCTTTCTTCCCGTTTTCTCTCGCTCTTTCCTCCTTTTGTCTTTTTCCTTTCTCTCTCTTTCCTCTTTCTCTCTCTCTCTCTCACCTATTTCTCTCTCTTTCCTCTTTCTCTCTCTTTCCACCTTTCCTCTTTCTCTTTCTTTACTCTTTCTCTCTCTTTCTTTTTTCTCTTTCCTTTTTCGCTCTCTTTCACCTTTATCTCTTTTCTCTTTCTCCGTCTTTCCTCCTCTTTTATCTTTTTTCATCTTTTTTCTTTTACATCCTCTTCCCTTTTTCACTCTCGCTTTTCTCTCCCTTAATGTCCCCTAATATTTTTCATTATCTCTTCTCACCATTTTGCTCGATAACATTATCTCACGCTTCTTCTTCTACTACTACTACTACTAGTTGTAGTAGTAGTAGTACCTCTTCTTTCTTTCTTTCTTTCTTTTTTCTTTCTTTCTTTCTTTCTTTCTTTCTTTCTTTCTTTCTTTCTTTCTTTCTTTGCAGCATTCCTCTAGGCAACCTGCATCTAACTACGTAGGTTTTGGTAAGCAAGTCGACATTTGAGAAAGTACTTGTTACAAATCTCAGGTATCCACTCACCCACGCTTTTGTCTAAATATCCCCCCACCACGTCCCAACCATCATTAGCCACCGCTTCCACCATCGCCCCATTGGCACCATTTCCTAATCTAGTGATACGTGAGACGACAGGAAGGCATCTTGCGGGGTTCTTTATTGGGATACTCGATAAAGTGGGCTCAGTGGTAGGGAGCGGAGAACAGTGCCATCAGTATATTAGGACAAACACACGAATTATTTGAGAATGCAGTTGCAAATGTCTATATACGTCGTTATATCTATGTATGGGGATAGATATAAACAAGTATGTGTAAATTGCACACGTAAATATACACACATAGATACACAGATATGTATATATATAATTCTCAAATATATATATATATATATATATATATATATATATATATATGATTGGTTGACATGAGTCATAAAGACGATGGCAGATAGAATTGTTTAGCAGCATTTGTCGCACTTTCGCTAAGGCTGGATTTTCGTAGCATTGGTTTGAAAGAACAGTTAGCTGACCATGCACCATAGATAGATAGATAGATAGATAGATAGATAGATAGATAGATAGATAGATAGATAGATAGATAGATAATGAACAAACAGAGATAGATAGAAGAATAGATAGATAGAGAGATAGAGAGACAGAGTGATAATGAAGCGGTTAGCATGGATGTATATATAGATAGATAATTAACAGACCGAGATAGATAGATAGATAGATAGATAGATAGATAGATAGATAGATAGATAGATAATGAATCGACTGGCACGGAGAAAGAGAGCGATAATGAAGAAGTTATCATTGATATATATATATATATATATATATATATATATATAGAGAGAGAGAGAGAGAGAGAGAAAGAAAGAAAGAAAGATAATGAAGCTACTCGCATAGAGAGAGAGTGGGATGGTGAAAAGTTTTGGCATATATATAATATATAGAGAGAGTGAGAGAGTGAGGGAAGATGACGAGCGAAAATGAACCGACTGAAATAAATAGGTAGATAAATAGATAGTGAAAAAACTGAGGTAGATAGATAATTAACAGACCGGCTAGATAGATAGATAGATAGATAGATAGATAGATAGATAATGAAGCGACTGGCACGGAGAAAGAGAGCGATAATGAAGAGGTTATCATTGATATATATATATATATATATATATATATATATATATATATAGAGAGAGAGAGAGAGATAACGAAGCGACTGGCATAGAGAGAGAGAGAGAGGGATGATGACGAGTTTGGCATATATATAATATATAGAGAGAGTGAGAGAGTGAAGAGAGATGACGAGCGATAATGAATCGACTGAAATAGATAGATAGATAGATAGATAGATAGATAGATAGATAGATAATGAACAGAGTAACTTAAATAGGAAATGGCTGAAATACACTGATCATGGTGGTTACTGGATTTAGAATATTGTTGAATGTCTTATGTCGAATTGTTGTCCACTCGTCACTGGTATAAATTGCAATCTACTCGTTTGTATTTTAAACATGGCAAAATCTCCCTAAATAAACCATTTTTTATTGTGCACATTTTTTTTATCTTGACTGTGGCATGCGCAAGTTAATTCTAACAAAAACTGATTCAAAGATGAAAATTATATTGCATGTTTAATATTTTATTCTAAATTTTGTGTTAAATAAATTTACTAGGCATGTATTTGGAACATGAATTATTTGAAGGATTGTTTCTTTGTTTAACATCAAGATTAGAGAGAGAGAGTGAGGGAAAGAGAGAGAGAGGGCGTCTGTAATAACAGATGAAATCCTAAAGTTGACATTTTAACTAAAACTCTTCAAGTTGAAACAGTTGATGCAATTTGCGGTGAAGTATTTAAAATCTATATCAGTTTCTCGCAACATTCAAAATGAGAACAAAATTCTTACAAGTTCACGTAAAACAATCGAATCCTGAGAAATCAAATGGTTCATTGATTGGCTTCTTGATTGAAGAAAGATGGATGAAATGCCACAAATTATTTAAACTAATATCCCCTGATATCAGATTCAATATAAACACAGAGGAAGTCTAAACAATATATTGGCAAAAGTTTCTGATAAAAACAATAACGAATAATTAATGAAAATATTGCATCTCAGAAATTCAAATTATCTGGGACAAACAAAGTTGTCTTTTGTCTGGAATTTTCACAGTAATTTTCTTACAAATACAACGATGTTCAGATATTGATAATGAAAATTGTTGAACAAAATTAATGAAAATTATATGCGTGAATATAACAGTCTGTTTCAAGCGTGAACGTAATCTTCAGGTCGTCTGTGCCGTGTTTTCGCTCGACTATTATGGGTTGTAAGGTTTATTCTATTTATCCTAATGGTTATTGGGTAGGCGGTAATAGTTAAGTTCCAAATTATTTCATAGGCCATTGAGTAGGAATAATTGTAGATCCGAATGTAGTTATTTGTAGTTCTTTTATAGTGTTCTTAACTTTTTACACGTTATTTTTTATTGATTACTTAATTATCTGGTGTCAATTGTTATTATTACATCTACTTGTGTTTATGAGAGCATTCGTAGATTGTTTATTATTTACTTCATTTCTTTACTTAATTATTTAGATTTTTTTTTGTTTATTTTTTCTCGGAAATTGATTATCTTATTTAGTTTAAGGTATTGGCTTTGTTTAAAGTATATTGCACTATCTGCGTTGTATATAGTGTATATATTTGCATTTATCAGGGTGGTATTTTACACGGTATGCGCTTTTAATTTTCGATTCTTAAGTAACGCAGTAAAAAAAATTACATTTTGAGTTCTGACCGTTTATTTAGTAAGTTGTGTTCGTCACGAAGATTTTCTATATTCTCCTCCAGACAGAGTTTACAGTTTTAGAATTTATTGCTGTAGGCTGTTACTGTTGTATTAATTTTCCATGATATTTTTGGTGTGGTTTGTTTTTTGTTTTTAATTTCCGATATATGTTCAGAAAGCTTTGTGCTGTTCGCGTATTTACTATTTGCAAAGGATGTTTTGTGTGTGTAGTTTCTCTGTTTCCAGAATCCTTCAGTTACTCCTATCTATATTTTCTCTTCGTTATATGCTGATTTTCCCCTACTTCCAAAATAAAATAACTCTGTTCGCCTGAAAACCTTTTTTGGCATCAAATGATCCATCTGGGTTGATGTGCCGTAAAATGAATCAATCAATCATTATCAGCTTATGTTATAGTGGCATGGCATATTACATTGTTTTGTAAGCAATTGCTATTTAAAGGACATTCGTTATTTACTCTGCAGTTACAAGTGGGTTTGTTTTGTGCCGATGTTTTGTTGATTAATTTTCTGTTGGGCTTTTTTATTATTTGTGTTATGTGAGACTGTAGCTGATTTTTACTGTGTTTCTATTCAATATTTTGTGAAGGGGATAGATGAGGACAAGTGTTTGTATTTGAGTGTAAGGAGTATTTTTCCTATGTTTCTCTTCTTGTTGGCTATTTGGTGCAGTGTGGTGCGTATATGAGTGTTGCCGAAAATCTTTTAGGGGGTTTTTCATAATATTTTTTTGCTTCACTGAAGATGGTTTCACTATAAGAATTGCCAGATAACCTGCAGTTAATTGATTGTGGGATCGACTTGATAATCGTTGGCGGGTAGTTGAAAGATCCACAACTATTCCTACTCAATAGTTTCTAGGATAATTTGAAACATAACTGTTACCGCCTACCCAATAGCCGGTAGAATAACACAGTAGACCTTACTACCCATAATACACCATTGACTAGCGTATATATAGTAGGGCTAAAACATAGCACACATGACCTGAAGATTATGTTCAAACATAAAACAAACTGTATCCGCAAAGTTTTGACCTCAGTGTCCATTTTTATAGTGTATATTTATATACATTCTATCCTTCAGGGTCAACAGCGAGTAGTGACTGTCTGTTTCATGTTTGAACTCACTGTTCTTTCGACCTGAATACAGTGGTTTTCAAGCATCGAACAAACAGTCGCTGCTCGCTGTTGACCTCAGTGCCTACTTTTATATTATATATTTACATATCATCTACCCTTGCACATTTACCCATAAATATAGCAAATATAGCATGCATTAAAACTGTATATTTATCATATATATATATATATATATATATATATATATAAAGCTAAAGTTCATAGCAACGCAAGCGGCCTTACAATAGTTGTAAGCGGCCCGCACATTTCGCAATGAATATTTCAGAACTTGATTTAAAATTCTAAGTTTTCAAGCACTAAAAATCGTGATGAATAAAAAACAATTAAGACCTAATTTGCAGTTATGAGTTTAATTTTGATTTGATAGATATATATATATATATATATATATATATATATATATATATATATATATATATATATATATATATATATATATATATATATATATATATATATAATAGGTGTGTTGTATTACACCAAACACTGTTTTATTAACACCAGCAATTTATGTGCAATGCACACACACACACACCATACACACGCATACATACTATATACTATACTATATATGTATATATATAGAGAGAGAGAAAGAAAGAAAGAAAGAAAGAAAGAAAGAAAGAAAGAAAGAATTTACGAATTTTACTTTTTAATCCAGTATATTTTTATTGCTTCAAACGTCATTTTTAATGGAGGCTCAAAAGTAGATGCAGGTTCAAATCCAGTGGAAGGGTACATTTTCTTTATTATGTTTCTTCGAGTACGCAGGGCGGTAAACGAAACAAATGATCCCTACCAACTATAATTTGGTATTATATATATATATATATATATATATATATATATAATGGAGAGAGAGAGGGGGGAGATAGATAGATAGATATATAGATAGATAGATAGATAGGAGGTATATCACTGATATTAAACAACTCTTCCTCTATAAAAATAGCAAATTTTAACCAGAATACAGCATACGCACACGTACACACTTATATATATATATATGCGTGTGTGCTGTCTACGTGTATGTATGTCATTGTATGTGTTTTCACGCACCTGTAAGTGATCAGCCACGAACGGTGTGTTTGCCTGCGTGATGTTTCAAAATGATTCAGTGTTTAAGTCCATCTGTATAAAAATTCTCTTCATACTCATTTCGACGCCGATTCTCTAGCTGAGGCATGAACCCATTGCTTCCTTTACCACCGTCATTTGCCCCCACCCCACACGCCCTGCTTCTAGGCTCTCTTCTCTCTCACGTTCAACGACTGAAGCAAAAAGCTTCCTACGCAAAATGAAGTCGTCGCCTCGACAAGAATAAAAATGTCTATCTTACCGCAGAAATGCTAAACTGTCTTGAAAACAAAAAAATTACAAGATTAAAATCAATGAATGGAAATTATTTTTTTAAAACTCTTTCTTTGGTAAATCAGACACGATTCAATCAGAAATGTATACCACCATCTTATTTGCGGTCAGTCGTCGGTGGCGACGGAGAGCTGAAGAAGAAAAGACGCCATAGAATGAAAATGGTGTGGGAATAATGAACAGACGTTAAAAGTGATCGTGCACACGAGGGACTGTGACTAGTTTGTTAGCAAAGGTGGGCGATGTTCGCTTTTGGTGAGGGGCAACAGAAGAGGATGGGTTGGTGAGCACTTGTCGAATTCTGAGAAAGTAACTTGATATATTTTAGACTAAGTACATATTTACGGTGACAAGGCTTCACATCGCAAAATTCCGAATAATTTATATCCGAGTAAGCGTTTATACATCATTCTACCTGCATCTCTCTTTCTCACACTCTCTCTCTCTCTCTCTCTCTCTCTCTCTCTATATATATATATATATATATATATATATATATATGTGTGTGTGTGTGTGTGTGTGTGTGTGTGTGTGTGTGTGTGTGTGTGACAAAGTGTAAAAAGTTTTTCTTGTGGGGTTTTTTTTATACTTAGGTCTTCATCGGACTAAACTAATGTTTACGCTGATGCGACTACGCATGCGCACGAAGGAGAGGGGATGCTGACCCTTTAAAATTAAAATTTAATATTTCAAACAAAAATAATAAAAAGCACAAACAAAAAGAAACTAAATGACATTGGTTAGAATATATACATAAATCATATATTTTTAAAAAAAAAGTAAATCTAAATTTAAAATTCTCATCATCTCCCCTCCCTCGTGCGCCTGTGTAGTCGTAAATTTCCCTAAAGTTGTTCTTGATATATAAAAAAGGCTATATCGTTTTCGCATATATATATATATATATATATATATATATATATATATTCGAATTCCGGTCGAATTCATTACATTCACTTACGTGCTAATACCCTTGGGAAAGGTATGAACCCTCTTCTTCTCACTCCAGCTATGGGTAAATAGGAGGACAGACTGGGTTCTATAGCCTTGGATGGCAAGTGGTCTAGGAGAAGGACAACTCTGAATTCATAACCTGTGGAGAGTTGTTTGGGGACCTTTTAGCACTTAGTGCACCACGTCTCTGTATTCGGCCCTTCAAAAAGTGTGGATGGTTCTGCACAAAACATTCATCACTATAATCAAATCATGTGTTGATGTCTGGGCTGTCGGTTTCTAGGAACTGGGCTGTTTGACCCTCATACGTTGAATCCGACGGGAGAGTCCATCATATATATATATATATATATATATATATATATATATATATATAAGTTATGCTATATTTATGGGTAAAAGTGCACAATATCAGGGATACAACGCGTGTAAAGTGGGCACTGAAGTCAACATCGAGCTGCGCAACCGGTTCCTGTTACATTCAAAATAGTTGCATTAATTTCATATAAGTTACCTCCCTTGCACGGCGGTGAACAAATATTTTGAATTAACGCTGTTAACACATCCGTAGATATGCAACCTACTCGGGAAAATGAAAAAAAATATTGAAAGAAAATTTTGGTATATTTCTTGATCAATTTTCTACAATCACCAAGAAATTAATTCGGGGACTTGAAAAGATTAAAACTAAAATAAACAGACATAATACGACTAAATTATTTAACCAAATATACTTGAACGAAAATATGCCGACTAAACACACACACACACACACACACACACACACACACACACACACACACACACACACACACACACACACACTGTGCTTTAAGTTTTGGCTTCAATTTTTTATTGTTCTGTCTGGGGAGTTGAGTACTTTACTGAGTCGTTAGGTGTTTGTCTTTTTCTTTTTATTTCTTCTTTATTTCCTTGTTCAGGATTTTTCCTTGTCTAAGATATTAGGTCTTCTGTTGGTCATCGTTGGTTTTTCTTTAGTGTTCATACACACACGCGCACACCTCACACACACACATATATATATATATTACATTTATGTATATTAATAATAACAAATATTCTTTACAGCTAAAACCTTGTCGAGCAGTAATTATTAGAGGATAACGCGTTTAAGGTAAGCAGATTTGTAAGTGCTCAATATAAGAAGTAAAATATTAATAATAAATTAATAAGTAAAATGTCCAAAGACTTATCTCAGCGTTCAGAGTTTTGCACAGATCAAGCCGCACATCAAGAGCACAAAGAATTTATCTTTTGCCTCCGATGTGAGTATTTACCTTCGCAAAAATCTGAGTCAACAGATAAATCTTACGCATGTACACACGTATAGACACGCACACATACACGCTCGAACGCACGAAGAAAAAATCAACTAACACCAACAGATAGAGTATACATTCTTTTAAAGCTGAATATAAAAATAAGAAAATTGAGAAAATCGGCAGTTAATTGATGATACCTCCTGACGAGTGTTGCTGTTGGGTGTTGACTTCAATGTCCAATTTGATATTTACATACGCTCTATTCCGGATATCGAGCACTTTAACTCGTAAATATAGCATGACATTAAACTATATTTTTATCATTATATATATATATATATATATATATATATATATATATATATATTTGTGTGTGTGTGTGTGTGTGTGTGTGTGTGTGTGTGTGTGTGAATAAAAAGACAAAAGGAAAAACTGTTCTTAGCCGACACGTTTTGTCCTTTGAGGGACTTTATCATGGCAAACGTGTCGGCTAAGAATAGTTTTTCCGCTTGTCATTTTTTATTGATTTTGTTCCTTTATAGATACACTCTAACCGAAAATAATTTATATATATATATATATATATATATATATATATATATATATATATATATCAGGCATGGATAGGAATCCGACAAAAATGATAGTATAAAGAACAAGTCGGAAACAGATCTCAATCTAAGATGTTTCACTTTATTAAAGCTTCGTCAGAGATCAATACAGAAATGTTTAAAAATGATAAAAAGCAAAGATACGCAGATTAATGGTGTGTTGTGTTTGGTTATTGCTTATTGGTTAGATACGTGTCACGTGTCACGTGTCATGAAGCAACAGATAATATTCAAATATATGTGAGAAACATTCTGGGCGCTAAAGTGTGTAAAAGTTAGTCTGATGCAGCTGGATGTTTTGAAAAATTTGGTTTTGCTTTGATTTTTCATTAAAGCCTATCCCTACCTTAATCAAGAATCACAATTTGAACCACATCGATTATGAAAAAGGTTTCATACATACATGTCATATTAGCAGCCTCCATCACAAATACAATTTAAACTGCACAACCAAGGAGATACATACAAGCACTAAAAACTTGCCCTACATTATTATAAACCCATCCGATAAAGGAGGCGGTATTATGGACACCAACATCTAAAAAAAATTAGAATCCCTTTGAAATAACGACAACACCTACACTAAAACCAATGATCTTACTATAAATACTGAAACACATAGGTTCAACAAAACTATCAAGAAATTCTTAAAAAATGAAAACAAATCTTGGTCTAGATTAATAGATTACCAGACACGCAAACCCGACACACCCGTTAGGCCCATTGTATCCGGAATTAACAGTGCACCCCGTTTAGCTAAAGCCATCACTAAAATTCTAACTCCATTCCTAAGCACCATCAGTACAACACGCATCAAACATTCGGGTTACTTACTCCTAAGAATACAATACATTAATATGACTGACATGTCTATGGCTTGTTTAAACATCAAATCCCTATACACCAATCTACCCATCACAAAATGCTTTAATATATTAAGAAATCACCTCAATAAATCCAAGGATAAGTTTCCTCTACCGATCCACAAAATCATAAAGATATGTAAATTAATCACATAATCACTGTTTCTTTTCTTTTAATAACATATTCTACAAACAAAAATTCGGTTTACCCATGGGGTCTCCTATCAGTTGCGTTCTCACTTGCCTCTTTCTTGAATTCTTAGAATCCACAACATTTAAAAATAGCATACCTAACAGCTTTACTTACCTAAGATACATTGATGATGTTCTCTTATTTTATCCCCAAGATACTAACCTTTTAAACATAATAGCTCAACTCAATAAGGTTGAACCAAGAATCGAATTCACACATGAATTTGAAACAAATAACTCTCTACCATTCTTCGATATCTTATTAATACGTAGCAATAACAAATTGGAATTTAACGTTTATAAAACCCACTAAAAAATGTCCTTATCAATTTCTATTCCTACCACAACCAGGGAATAAAATCTGGAATAATTATAGGATTTTACCTTTGAACCATTAGGATATGTAGCCACGGATACATTAATGAAGACGAGGATTATATTGAGAACACATTGAAATTTCTACACAACCCATGTCATTTCATCTTAAATGCAAAAAACGAGCTCAGAAAATCCATAAAACCAAAAAAAAAAAACCCCCAAAAAAAACAAATATTTCCAAAGAAAAATTATATAGAATTTATAATTCTACCCACCAACACTTCAACTAAACTCGCAAATAAATTAGCCATGACACGGAGATTGTTACCACAAGACTATTGGAGAAATAATCAGGATGAAAAAAAAAAAAAAAAACAATTCAAATGTCGGAGTTTATCAAATCAAATATCTACAGCTCAATAACATGTACATTGGGGAGATATCACGCGATCTGAAAATCCGCATCCAAGAACACAAAAGAGACTTGCGATTAGATAGACATTCAAACTCTCTCGTCTTACACCGCAACAACGTAGGTCATAACTTTAATTTCGCCAATACCAGCCTTATCAGAAAAAAAAGAACATAAGCCTTTAAAGAGAAAATATGTTGAAAATATATTCATAGCAACATTACCAACTATCAAGGTACGTTAAAAAAACTACATTACTTCACCATTTTTCTACAGATTCATTATTCATGAATCTAATCTCATTCTAATACATAAAAATCAATGAAGATATATACAAAATACGCACGAGATATGATTTATTGAAAAATCAAACGAAAACAATTTTTTTCAACACATCCTGCTGCGTCTGACTAATTTTTACACATTTTATCATCCAGAATATTTCTAACACATATTTGAATATCATCTGTTACTTCATGACACGTGACATGCATCTAAATAGTAAGAAATAAGCAAACACAACATACCATTAATCTGTGTCTCTTTGTTTTTATCATTTCTATCTTGATCTCTGACGAAGCCTTAATAAAGTGAAGATTGTCATCTGTTTCCTACTTGTTCTTTATTCTATCATATATGCATTTTATCTCTCTCTCTCTCTCTCTCTCTATATATATATATATATATATATATATATATATATATAGAGAGAGAGAGAGAGAGAGAGAGATAGATAGATAGATAGATAGATTTGCTTTTTCGCTTTTATTATTTTATTGATTCAGTTTGTAACTTTGACTCAATTTCCCAAGCAACATTTTATTTGATTTTTCTTTTTCTCGTCCTTCTTTACAAATGCGCTGAACACATTTCGCATTTTTTATGATTAATTGAAATAAAATAACATTTATTTCTGAAAACTGTTTTTATTTGACTCGTTTTTCATAGACCAAACGAAAATGGATTGTAAGTGTTTCAAGTCTAAGAAAGAAAGAAAGAAAGAAAGAAAAAGAAAGAAAGAAAGAAAATGTAAAACCTAAAGAGAGAAAAGAGAGGCCAAGTTAACAGATGTCCTTACAGGAAGAGAGGGCGTGAAAGAGAAAAAAATTGAAAGTTCGGTAAAGAGAAAGTGAGGTATAAAGAATGGGAGAATGTGAAAGAGAGTATGAGACTAAAAGCGACAGTGTGAGAGAGTGTGAAAGTGAGAGTGGAAGCAAAAAAAAAAAAGAAAGTGTGAAAGAAAGAGAGAATGGGACATAGTTGGAGTGAGAGTGAGAGTGAGAGTGAGAAAGGCTTAAAATGTTGAAGGTGATACATTGGAAATGAAGACAAGCAGTTATACGAACTAATGAGAATGTTTACCATAACACCGATTCGCCAATCTCTGAAAAGTGGCACTGCTGCTCTACGTTTCGACGACGGCTAGGCGCCATCATCTTAGATCCACATTACAACGAAGCTTTCTCGTTCAATCTACCACTGAGCCTTACAATATTTCGTATCTCTTGTCAACGAAACATTACCTCGGGGCACGGATCAAGCTCAGTTGATAAATGTGTAGTGACGTGGCACCAATTTCTCATATTTTTCAAAATTTTCATCTTGGGTTGAGGAATTTCATCTTCTTTATGTGTATTTTCAAAATCAAACATGACCGAGATTATTGTAAACACAACAATCCTTTCATTAACTGCATATTATGTTTTTTGTTAGAACGAAGTACGGTTTTAAAAGTCAGAGTTGTCCTTCTCCTAGACCGGTTGCCACCCAAGGCTGAAGAATTCAGTCTAATCTATTATCTAACCCATAGTTAGGGGGATTCGCAAAGTGGTGAATCCATACCTTTCATTAGGGAATGTAATGAACTCGACTAGAATTCAACTTCGATTTCTCATTGTGAGCCACCGTCTATTACACCACCCACACATCCTTGACTATTGTATCAGTCAATTATGTGCCGTGCGTAATACACGCGTAGGCGATCATGCATCTTTCGATACATGAATGACGAGGCAGATGTTTTCCCGCAGTAGGTTGCCATTTCTTTCCGCGGTAGACCTGTTGCCATCCAAGGCTAGAGAACCCAGTCTGTCCTGCTATTTGCCCATAGTTGAGGGAAAAAGAAGAAGATTCATACCTTTCCCAAGGGTATTAGCCCGTAAATGAATGGAATGGATTCGAGTGGAATTCGAACTCGGCTCTCCGATTCCTCATTCCCAACCGCTATCCATTTTGTTGCTTTGATTTGATTATGAGAAACAGTGTTTGATCGTCGTATTTCTATGCTTATCCTTTCAACAACGAGAGTGTGGAATAATTGAGGGTTTCATCTATCCCTGACAACCGCATTTAACCTTACTATGACCAATCTTGCTTATATTTCATTTTAAGGTGAGGAATTGTCAACATAATTTAATCATTTTGTTTATTACAGATGTTATAAGGGCAAGAAGGTAGTTGGCAACAACTTTGTGACTATATTAACATCAATAGCGTTGTGTCTATAATAAAATACAATAACGCTGTTTCTATAATAACCTCTATAACATTGTGCCTATAATAACTTCTATAATGCTGTCTCTATAATAACATCAATAACATTTTGCTTATAAAGACAACTATGACGTTGTGTCATCTATAACAGTCAAGAAGAACGTCTGCACAAACGTCATTGAACTAAACTTCAGAAACGCAAACATAAAAATTGACTACTTTGGGTTCGGTTCAAAACTCAAACAAATATCCCCAGAAGAAGGCCGGGGCGTACAACGGCCGAAACGTTGTGAATATGACAATAAAAATGAGGACAACAGCCCAAACAATGTAAATGGTGTAAATAGTTACAATACCTCATCTCAGAAATATAGACAGATCTTGAAGAAGGCCGGAGCGTACAACGGCCGAAACGTCGTGAATATGGCAGTAAAGATGAGGACAACAGACCGAACAATGTAAATAGTGTAAATAATTACAATACCCTATCTCAGAAATATAGTCAGAATCTGAAGAAGGCCAGAGCGTACAACGCCGAAACGTTGTGAATATAAGCAATAGTGATGAGTACAACACACCGGACAATGTAGAGTAAATAGTTACAATACCTCATCTCAGAAATATAGACAGGTGATGGGAATATAACTTATAATTAAATATATAATTTATGTTCAAGAATGACTTAACGGAAAGATAAGATTCTAATAAAAGGAGAAATCTAACAATAGCAAGGAGGATATTTTTATTGCCGAAAATTCTTTTTTTGTTTTGCCTGAAAATAAGATTGTTAAATATTAATTTTAATTCACCTCTTTATCAGCGGTTCGTTTGTTTGTGGCAGTATTTCAAGAAACTTATCACCATAAAAATTTAGACCTGATGCAATATCATTCGTCTGAGAGTCGTACTAAATTTGAGATAAACATGGCAGGAGATATGAACTTCATTCAAAAGCAAAGAAAGATGAATGCCTGTGACGGTTGTAAATAACAAGAACTCCGTTCTACTTCTGTAGAGAAGATTCAGCGAGATTGTGTCTCGTGTATAGGTCGACGTGTAATTGGAAGCTAACAATTCACTAATCAGATCTTCTACGTGTTCTTGATGTTGTTCGCAGTTGATAATTCGTTAACAAGTGTACAAGTCGATGTGTGATTTGGAACTGACCGTTATATCAGTCCTCTTTTTTGACACTCTCCTTGAAGCAATAGAAATGTGGCTCTACAGAATGATGCTGAGGATACTATTCACCGAACACGTAAGCAACGATGAAATTTTAGAGAAAATAGAACAAAAGTGATGCTTATACTTAATTAAGCAGATATGTCTTGTGTATAAGTCGATAGATGGTCTGAGGTCGATAGATGATCTGAGGCCAATGTGTGGTGTGAAGCTGACTAATATATAAATGAATCGAAGATTTACTATTTATAGAGATTAAAATTTTGTTCTTTACACTCAAAGGAAACATTTCATGTACTTGTGTGCATCTTTTTATTATTGACTGTTGATCAAAAATCACTCATACACTGATTTATTCATACGAATATCTTCATCTTTGTTATTATCGTCACAGCATTTCGGTTGTTGTATCCTCCGGCCTCCTTGAAGTATCTGTCGTAATGGGGAAAAAAATTCAAAATGCTGATTTAATTATATTTCTCCTAAATAGATCTTTCGGATGCTGATAGTCAAGATTCTTGCTTTAGATACAAAATTCATCGCCCCAAAATGCTGAGCATGCTTTGGCATCTGTTAAACTGTAAGTGTCGCCAGCATCAAATATTCAAACTACGCCGTTGTATTTGTAAAATCATAAACAGGCGGAGTCCATTCGTCGTCCCAACAAATTCAAAATGCATTCAGCGAAATTTTATACCAACGAATGTGTTTATTTTCGTTTTGTTAATGTGACAATACCACAGCTATTTCGAAAAGAAAAAAAATCTATAAAATGGTTTTAAACTCGTGTTAAATTTGTGCTTTAGAAGAAAGCACAAATTTAACACGAGTTTAAAACCATTTTTACAAAAACCATCCTCATGATCTCTAAAATTATGTTTAGATGGGGTTAGTTTTATATGTTCTAAATTATGATCTCGGGTCATTATTTTTCTTGTGTCGATTTGTGTGAAGCACCTCCTGATGAACCAAATATTCTAGTCTTTGTGATCAGTCCCCTTATCAGTTATCCATACTGTGTGTGTGCTTGGTCACTGGCAATTGCAATTCTAAAAGAAAACAAACAACGAAATGGTAGCAATGTTCATTGTTATTGACATCAGACTGAAATGTTTTTGATTTTATAAAAATAATTTTTAAAAGTCGTAAAAAATATTAAATAGATTTAACGGAAAAAAATATTTACCCGATTTACATTCGGATTATTGTCTTCATTTTTGTTGCTGTTCGAAACCGGAACGACAATCACCTGATGAAGGCCGAGGGTACATCGGTCGAAACATTGTGATAACAACAACAAAGATGAGGGCAATAGTCCATATGCAAATAGTGTAAATGATAATTCCTCATGCTAGAAATTCCGAGAGAGAATTGGATAAAATTGTCGTTTCAATCTTTTCATTCTTTTACTGATTTTACTAGCATATCTCCCTCTCTCTCTCGCTCTCTACCCCCTTCTCTCTCTCCCTTTTTTAAAATACACACACACACAGAAAGAGAGAGAGAGGTGCAATAAAACAAGAAGGCTCTTGTCAGGGAAAAGAGACGTGACGTGGAATAGAATATGGTGTCGACAACCGGATATTAAGGCCAACCAATCAAATGTACTTCCGGACATATCAAACTTTATTTTGTTTTATTTTAATCACTTAATTGTCACCTTCAAAGCCTCCAACCGATGCCGAGTCGCATTCTATTATTAGAATCAATTTTATAAGTTGCAAGGTAACAAAGCCGCTAACACAAAAGGGAGGGGGCGATTTGTCTGAAAGAAATACATTAATAAGTGGCGAGAACAATAAAAGAAGAGGAATTCAGAAGACAGAAGATAACGATAGACATTACATTTAAAATTTTGAAGATCAGACTTGAAGAGAAAGCAAAAAGCTGAAAGAGAGTTTCACATGTTAGAAGTGTGAGAGAATAAACTGTTAATATAAAACTGACGCTTACATCCAGCCATTTCCATTGGAAAATGATGAGACCTTGTCACCAATCTAGTACTGCGCCTAAATTCATAAAGTCTAGCTACCATCGAGGAAAGTTCATCAGAACAATTACCATGAAACTAGAAAAAAACACAGGAAAGCAACGTTATAATGGTGGGAAAGCGACTGAAGCCAAGATGCCAGGTCAGGACCAATTACATTGCAGATTATTCTTTGGATTTTACAAAGACTCTCTAAATACATAGCAGGAGCATCAGACCAAATGTGGTAGCAATATTCTAAGCATAGACGGCAAACTTGTAAGTATATATGATAGATTCGAGAGAGAAAAATTGTCTAGGACAACAAAGTGAAACAAATTTCCTAGCAATAGACCTACCAATGGATTCAATATAATCTTTCCACTTCATGTCAGCAGAAAATGTTGGCCCGGGAAGTCAGCATTAGTTATGTCATGTTGATGGAGATTAGAAAAGGATTCTCTCAGACGATTAATAGAAAGTAGTTTCGTCTTGGAGGCGTTAAAATTAACAAGATATTCCTTTCTCCAGTTAACAGAATGAAGATTAATTTTAGATCGGTTGACCTTATCAAACCAATCAGACTTATCACTAAGACAGGAGTAAATAGTTGGGTCATCAGGAAAGTCGCTGGTGAAAATTTGGAACAACGTAGATGTCGAAGGATAGAGCCCTTGGCGGGGGACATCTGCATTAATGCAAAAAGATCTAGAAGAGTGGGCATTCAAGACAACATTCATTTTGTGATTTGATAAGAAAGACTGAATCAGTTCAAAAATTCTTCCAGAAATA